ATGGGAGGGGCAGGTGCAGGATGGCTGTAATGGGAGGGGCAGGTGCAGGATGGGTGTAATGGAAGGGACAGGTGCAGGATGGGTGTAATGGAAGGGACAGGCCGGACTGCTGAAGGAAGGAGTGGCAGTTTATTGAGTGTCTTCCCTATGCCGAGTGCTGGGTAGATGTGGGTAAAAGAGGTGGTCAAGGCCCCTGAAGTTATCTCTGGTCAGGCCACTGCAGGCTGCATCGATCACAGGGAAGGACACAAGTGAGTGGTGGGACCCAGAGGAACTCAAGACCGCGGCTCAGAGGGCTGGGAGGCGGCAGAGCCCGAGTCAATGCCGGGGACACCTGGGGAGGGAGCCTCGTGGGATGCATGTGAGAGCTGGCGACATGCTCCAGGGGCCCAGAGAGGAAGGGGCCGTGCGAGGATGCCCTGGGCAGTAGGTGGCACCAAGGAACTCTGTGCGGCTGTGTGGCTGGCTGGAGGCCACATGTCCTCCCCCTCTTCTGTCCCAGGAGGTGAGGGACATTGGAGAGAGAAGGGAGCCGGGCTGTGCCCCGAAGCAGCCGCGGGAGCCCACAGCGACCACGGGAGCCCAGAGCCTCGGGAGCACCGGGCAGGGCTTCATGAAGTGCCTGCTGGAGGTGGAGGAGGAGGAGGCCATGCATCGGAGGGCCGCCAAGGCCCGGGCCCTGCCAAACCGGAAGGTCCCCAAGACCCTGACCCCCGTGCCCACCTCAGCCCCGGTTGGCAACTCAGCCTCAAACCTGCCCCTGACACTGCCTCAGACCCCTGCCTCGGCCCCTGCCATGGCCCCATCCTGGGTCCGGCCACCAGCCCCTGGGCCCATCCCTGCCGCTGTGGGAGCCCCTGTCCCGGCCTCTGTACCTGTCACTGTCCTGCCAGTGCCCACCCTGGACCTGGGCTGGAGAAAGACAGTATTCTTGCACCACAGTGGCGAGAGAAGCCTGGCCCAAGTCAAGGCACGGTAGGAGCCCCCCGAAAAGAGGCTCAGAGCTTCTGTCCCCTTGTCCCTGGCATCTCTCTCCCAGACCCTTGTCCCTGTCAGTAGCCCTGTCTGTTTCCTCCTGTGTGTCCTCTCCACTTCCCCTCATTTCTGTCCTCCCTCCCAGCTCTATGCCCCCATATCTAGGTCTCCATTCCCATTTCTGACCCCTTTCCCTCCCTCGTGTCCTTCACCTCCGCCCCGCTCTTCCTCTGGGTCACTCAGCCTCTCTGACCTCTCAAAGCCTCGCCCAGGGCCCTGCCCATGCGCTCCGCTGCCCTGGCTTCCCCCTAGCCCTGCCCTGGCTCTGGGTGCAGCCGTGGGCAGGGCAGGCGGCTGGATATGGACCCAGCCGGTCTGTCCTCTGCAGGCAGGACCTGGAAGAACACTGCCTCCTAAACTTGTATCAGAACTGGGAGGCGCGGGCTGAGGAGCACCTCACCCTGAAGCAAGAGGAAGGTGAGGCCGGCCAGGGGAGCCCTCGCAGGGGCCTCAGAACGCTCTGTCCTTTGGGGTTCACAGACCTGGGGTGGGGGTGGTTTACAGACCAGACCGCCGCCCTGTGCCCACCCAGCCCTGTGCAGTGGACCCAGTGGAGTGCCTGGCTGGGGGGCCGTGCAGGGCAGGAGCTTGACCCAAGCGCGTACACTGCTGGGTGGGGGGCCAGAACTCACGCTGGGTCCTCTCGCTTGGGGTCCAGTATGCTTCCCAGTTCCACAGTCACCCCGCTGAGTGATGGCAGCAAGCCTGCCAAGCGCTTCAGGTTTTGGAGGCGTTTCTGCCTCCCCCCGAGCTCACTCCATTGGTCCTCTTTAGAAGCAGCCTCCAGGGTGCTTGGCTGTCCTAGACTGGTCTCCATTTCCACTCCCACCCCAAAATGTACAAGTTCTTTTTTTTTTTTTATTGCTTAAAGTATTACAAAGGGTATTACATATGTGTCCTTTTTCC